CACAACACAAACCGCACGTAGCTTTGCCCCTCATAGGTAAAAGGTGTCGCTTCCCCACGCCCTCCCTCTCTCTCGTTGTCTCTTTTCTCTCCCTCCAACTCCGCCTCTCCCTCTAACTTTCTCTCTCGCTCGCCTTTCCCCCCGCCTACTCCCTCTCTTTCTCTCTCATCTGTCCCTCATTCTCTTTCTCTCACCTCTCGCGGATGGTATCGCTCATGACACTGGTAGCACGGTAAATTTTCAACAGGCAGCAAGCCGTTTTTCGGCTAAAACTTTGTACATCGCGGGGGCAAACAAGTTTTAGCTTAAAAACGGCTAGCCACCTGGTGGTAATCCACCGTACTATTGATGTCGTGAGCGATACCATGAGCGAGAAGGGGAGCACGGAATCGAGGGAGAGCGAGAAACAGAACAGGGTAACACGGTTGAGGAAAGTAAAGAGGGAGAGCGCGCGAGAAAGAGCGAGACACAGAGAGAATGAGAGAGAAAATGGGAGAAGGGGGAAGAAAGGGGCATAGAGAGAGGGGTTTCAATTTTCCCTCTTGGGGTTCAAGAGGGAAGAAAAGAGAGATACCGGGAAAAGAACAAAGATAGAAAGCGGGAAAGACAAGGGAGAGAAGAGCGGGGAAAAGATAAGGAGAGAAATTTCGCGTTCGTGATGTGTTATGATCTTTGCTCCCCCAGGCAAAATGAGTTAGCTACAACCCTATGCGGTCGCTCTAGTCGGGGTCACGTGAACACGTGCGATCCAAAATGTCGCGTCTCGAAATGAAATTTACGGAGAAGCAAGGAATTATTTTCGCCGCACGACTTACATCTCGCGACGTCGGAAACGAACGAAATAGATCCGAGAGATTCCCGCGGGGTTTTTTCCCATAGAGGTCGCGGTGACATCACGTTGAAGTCAGAGCCGTATATAGAGCTCTATATATCTATCTATATATCTCTATATACGGCTCTGGTTGAAGCGGCACCAGCGTATCCATGACTCCCGGGGATCAATCATGCACGGACGAACATCGGATGGAAACGTTGATGGGGGTGACGAAAAATCACGGGTCGCAACTAACGCACAGACCTTCGTGACAAGATGCTCGCTCCGGTATACATGCGGACGTTTCGGGCACTCTTTGCTAGCGGTTACTTTTCAGGGGCGTAGCCAGGATTTTCAAAGTTGTAGGCACGACTATCTGAGCGTAGCGCCACCATCGGTTGGCGCGGAGCGTACAAGAAAATTTTTGGTTTTACAAACCCCCCAGATGGCCGGAAACGGCCCTTCCCGAGTGTTCATTCTGATTCCCTGGCCTCTTGCTAACTTGAGACACCTCATTCAATATCACTTTTAAACCCAAAAAACAAACGAGTTAAAATAGTGTTACGAACGAGTTAAAATGTTAAAAAACTGACAAGATCAGATCCTAGTCTTTTTCGGCGGGTAGAGTGTTGAATGAAACGGCACGCGATAGAAATGTCAGCCTAGATGACAGAAGAATAGGTCACCTAATTTAGCCATATTCTTGCTACGTTCATTTCAATAGTTTTTCCTGTCTAGACTCTTAAACTCGTCCAGCAAGCTTATGGATTTGAATTATGGGTGTTTAAAAAAAAGAAGATAACTTGGCAAAAAAAGTGTAGGCCCGGGCCTACAGTGCTACATACTGGCTACGCCACTGCTTGTATATATAGACACGTTATATGATCGCAACGGGGACGTAGCCAACTCATTTTATCCTGCGCGGGGGCAGAGCTTTGTGTTCTGAGCGGTTGACCGAGGGCAAATCGCGGTACTGACCGTGTAATAGCATCTATATTTGTCTGTAAGAGGGCAACTGCCCCCCTTGCTTCCCGCTGCCCTCGGCCCTGAGCACGTAATAAATTTATACGGCGCATACATTGAGCGTGATGTTCTAAACTAATTGCTTACACGTATTGGCTGTGCAGGCGTAAAGACCATGACTTATATATATGGATTCGAGTACATGTTTAGCAGAACTGCACAGTGGGGGTCAGACCTCTTCACCGTGACCAATGCCGGCCTGCAGTCTAGCTGGCAGTTACTCATACACACAGACGTATGGAAACAACCGTCGCCGTTGAATTATAAATGCGTGTACTTAAACATATAAAATTTCCATAGTCAACCCCATGGGGTCACCATTGTACTTATGTATCGTAGAGCCTATAGGCGTAACACCATCAAGAAGAATAAAATTCTAACGTTCTACGTTCTTCTTTTTGTCTTATTCTAAGACAGGACTTCGAATGAGTTACAATCATTGTTAAATAATTTTTACGATTGAAACGTCTAATGTATACGTCCAGTCGTTATAACATTTAATAAACTATTTTTTATTGCTTCTTATTTTTCCTCATAGTTAGCGCAGTACGTATATACACTGTTTTTTTTATTACTATTAATTATATCCTATATTTATATTACTTATATCGCTTATCGGAGACACAGATGCGTTTCTATATGCATTATGTTATGTTATGTTATGTTCTCGTACTTGTCGGTGTCCACTACACTGGATATAATGACAAGGTAGTAAGTGCCTTCAGGGATAAACCCAATAAACAAACAGGTGCATAATGATGTGAGTGCAATGCAACTGATGTCCTCTTAAAGTGGGTTCGCGTGCATGTGGGAGTGAAGCCTTGACTTAAAAATGTCAACGTCCGTTGCTTCCACAACACCCACGGGTAGGTTGTTCCAGATTGGAATCATCCGGGGAAAAAAGGAGAATTTGAATGCGTTGTTGTTGCAGTGCAGGTGCCGAAATTTGTGGGGGTTTTTCGATCTGGTACCTGACATCCCCGGGATCGGAGGCGTGTTCAGGAGAGCGAGCGCTCGATGCGAACGCTCGATGAACGAACGCAGCGCCTCCTGAACGACAAACGAGCGCTCGCTGTGTGCTCGCTGTGCGCTGGCTTTGATCAAAGATGGCGGCCCCCATGGAGGGTTAATCAGCAGATTTTAATCGCGAGAGAACAAGTACTGTTAAACGAATTAGCAGACGAAATTGATACAAATTGAATTTAGAAGTAAAGGAATGAATGAAAAGTGAAGTAAAGTTGAAATAGATTGCAAATTGACGTCAGAAATGTTAGATTCGCATTCGCCAGATTTCCCGTCGCCATCTTGTAAACAACCCGCGCGCTGAGCGAACAGCTTTTCAAACTTGCGCGCAAACGCTCGC